ATTCTTATGCATGCCAGTGCTGTGTGTGAGGTAATTTAAGGTGGTTCTGACAAGTGTCGTCGGCATCTTCATATCCGGTCACATGGGCGGCAAGCCACACCCATCCGGTCACATGGATGGCAAGCCACTCCCACAAAGGAGGCCACACCCACAGAGTAGGTTCGAACAATTTTTGAAACCCACCACTGCACTAGACCAATCTCTCTCTCTATTTTTGTTATCTCACTTTTTAAAATGAATGAGAAGTGATTCTTTTAGAAGTGATTCTTGTAATCTTTAAATAATTCCAATACTTAAAAAAAAAATTAACTGCACTTTTCTATGGGAAGTTACCAATTGTAATCACTGTACTTATAGCTCTTCCTGAAAATTGCGGTTGAAGGATTTAACAGAGAAATCACATTATTGTAAGTTAAGCCTAAAATAATATACTCCAATGAGTTATCTTCTGCCTTTGTTCTAGATTGTGGCCAGTGGAATCTGTGGCTCAGATTCCCACGTTGTAAGGGGTGCAGTAAAGACCAAGTTACCTATTATTCTTGGACATGAAGCAGTTGGCGTGGTTGAGAGTGTGGGGGAAGGTATTACCAGTATGAAACCAGGTATGGAAATTGAGTGCAAAACCTTTCCCAGTAAGAATGAAATCAATAAGGTAATCAATAAGGAAATTAAAAATTACATACAGGAAGGCCTCGACTTACAACCATTGGTTCAGTGACCCAACAAATGACTGTTTTTCACACTTATGACTGTTGCAGCATCCCCATGACCACATGATCAAAATTCAGATGCTTGGCAACTGGCATGTATTCATGACAGTTGCAATGTTCCGGGATCATGTAATCACCTTTTGTGAACTTCTGACAGGCAAAGTCAATGGGGAAGCCAGGTTCACTCAACCAGGTTACTAAATTAACAACTGCAGTGATTGACTTAACAACTGTGGTAAGAAAGGTCATAAAACAAGGCAAAATTCACTTAACAAATGTCTCACTTAGCAACATACATTTTGGGCTCCATTGTGGTCATAGGTTAAGGACTACTTGTTGGTGTTTTGAAAGTTCAGAAAGTTAGCAGTGCTACTGGAATTCTGAATGAAAATACTAGCAGTGGGTTAGTAGCATCTCCACAACTATATCCTACAATAAACCACAAGCATTGTTGTTCTCTCCAGAACGAAGATTAGTTTAATAATAATAATAAATATCTTTTTGCTATTAATTCCGTTTCAACAAGAAGCAGCTAAATTTTAACATGTCTGCCACATGTTCATCATCTGCATTGTTTAAATCAGCGGCCCCCAACCTTTTGGGTGCCGGGGAGCATTTCCATGGAGAGTGATGGACCAGGGGGCGTGGTTTCACACACTGCTTGCACATGTGCAGATGGGGCATCTCTTGCTTGTGCAGACCAGTTCCTGATGGGTCATGGACCAGTATTGGCCCGTGGACCGGTGTCAATCCACAGACCAGGGATTAGGGACCTCTGGCTTAAGTAACAGAATTTTCAAATCCTATGTAAAATTAGACCCCAGGTACCTCTTACCACATGTGGTGGACGTGAAATAAAAGAAAAGAATATTGGGAAAAAATACAAAACTGGCTGGAAATGATAATCAAACAGAATAAAGACCTATTGTAGCAATATTGAATAGATTGGAATTGACTGTTTTGCTGGTAAAATCCTGCCAACTATAGTACTGGTAAAATACTGCCACTAGGCTGTCTGGAAGTTTCAAGCCCATAGATAATGATCTTTTTCTCATTCTCAGGAGACCAAGTCATTCCGATTTTTCTCCCCCAATGTGGCAAATGCAGTACTTGTATGCATCCTACAGGCAACTTGTGCAAGAAGGATCAGTGAGTTTCTCTCCTGGCACTACTGTACTTTCTTGTTCTGCCTAATAGCCCCATGATCGATAATTCTGATTTCCCCTACCATGTTTTTCACAGAGAGACTGGATTCATGGAGGATGGCACCAGTAGATTCACTCACAAAGGAATACCACTGCACAACTTTGTTGGTACCAGCACTTTTACTGAATATACTGTAGTGCACGAGGATTCAGTTGTCAAAATCGATGCTGCAGCACCTCCTGAAAAAGTGTGTCTTATTAGCTGTGGGTTTTCCACTGGCTATGGTGCTGCCATAAATGCTGCAAAGGTAAGCTCATGATAGCTCCATGTTCAAGGTCAGGATGGTGGTTCTGAACCTTTTCTTCACCACGGACCCACTTTAAGTACCTTTTGTGATCACAGACCAGGACCACAGACCTCCAAAACCTAACTCAAGATTTAAATCATATTTCTTTAAGCCTTCGCAGATGCCCTATGATGGCATTGCACGGCCCCAGAGATCTGCAGACCACAGGTGGAGAACTACTGTTCTAGGGCATGTCACATGCAGTTATGTGTTGTGGTCCACCAGCGGTCAGTGGAGCTGGCAGCATATTTGGACAGTGGGGAGGTTGGGAGGAACATGGGGAAGGCTCTGATGAGGACTCTGTGTTGGAGGCAGAGAGGGGGACAGAGTTGTATGCCAGTAATCAGCTGCTTTCACAGTCAGACATCAATGAGGCAGATGAACAGCTGGAGCCTGTTTCTAGCCAGACAAAGAGAACAGCTAAAGAACAGGGGTTGACTTGGGAGTAAGGCTACAGGTGGATGATGAATGGCGCCTCCCAGAGGAAATAAAAGAGGAGCAAAAGGGGAGTGGAATTTGCAGGAGACAATTAGTTCACTTAATTGGTTTGTGACTCTTTGAGACTCCTTGCCAGGTTTTGCAGATATCGGCCTGTCAGCCTCCAAGCCAGATAAGGTCTGTGACTGTAAATCCACCCTTGAAAGACTTTGCTGGATCTGAATGAGCAGAGTTCACAATAAATTAATAAAAGGGTTTTTTGTCGGGATAAGGAGTTTGCTTCATGCTCTTGGGAAGCCTAGATCAGAACACTATCGTGCCATATATTACCTGCTCATAATGGTTTGATTTCATCTTAATTCCATGATGGAATTAGACATTTCTCTAAGTAAAAATGTTGGTTGGCTGCAGGCCAGCGTACACTTTAAAAGGCAAAGTTGAAAGGTAGAAGAGATCATTTTGAGGAGATTAGAGATATTGATGGAAAGCTATTTGTCTAGTTAGCCTTGTAGAAAGTAGATATTTGTGACTGGTCACATTTTATAGCAGCCATTCAATGAATGTGCAATTATTTCCGTGGTGTCCATTTTGTGATCATACACACAAGATGCTCTCAAAATTCCATGTTGCTTCATACCTTTGGACTAAAAGAGATTCATTAACCCTGTTAGTACATAACCATAATGCCCCATTTTTTTTATGCTAATGAAGGTGCGGCCTGGTTCTACCTGTGCCGTTTTTGGACTCGGAGGAGTTGGTCTCTCAGCAGTCATGGGCTGCAAGGAAGCTGGAGCTTCCCGAATCATTGGAATCGATATCAACAAGGACAAATTCCCTAAGGCTAAAGAAATTGGTGTCACGGACTGTGTCAATCCCAAGGATTACCAGAAACCCATCAATGAAGTGATCTTTGACTTGACTGGCGGTGACGGTGTAGAATATTCCTTTGAAGCCATTGGAAAACCTGAAACCATGGTATGTGCATTAAGGTAGTACCAGAATGGAAGAACTAAAAGGGACATGAGGAAGATCTTTTACTAAAAGCCAACATTTCTGTGGGCTTTATTGAAATAATCATTGCAGTAATTGTAGGGTGCTAAGTAACAAAGGGATGCAGCGGGTCAGTGGCTAAGATGCTGAGCTTGTCGATCAGAAGGTCAGCAGTTTAGCGGCTCAAATCAAAGGAAGGGAAAAGAAAAAGAAGAAATAATCACATAGCCATTTCCTCAGCAGAAAAATTCCACCCCCTTTAAAACTCAGGCTTAAAGTACAAGAGATTCCCCCCCCCCCCTTTCTCTCTCCCTTCAATTAATAGCTCTGGCTCAGGGAAAGACAGCCAAGAACCACTTAACAGGCGAATACTTAGTTGTGATAACAAAACTGCAGGAATGAAGTCAGCTTAGAAACAATAGAAATTTACAGATTATATAGATTAAGAGAGTGGAAAAGGACCTCGTAAGTCATCTAGTCTCCTGCTCAAGCAGGAGACCCTACCACCATTTCTGACAAATGGCAGTCCAATCTCTTCGTGAAAGCCTCCGGTTATGATACTCCCACAACCTCCGAAGGCAAGCTGTTCCCTTGGTTGATTATTCGCACTGTCAGGATATTCCTCCTTATTTCTAGGTTGAATCTTTTCTTGCTCTGGACAGGATAAGGCCAGGGAAGGAGTTTTAAAAATGTTAATACAGAGCAGGAGTTTCTCGTGAGAGTTCTTGTGTCTTCTTAAATACACATTCTAATCAGCAGAATTGATTTATTAATTTGGTATAGGGTTGCAATGCTGTTTCTATGTTTGTTAGGGGTATCTCCGTTGGGAGACAGACAGTAGTGCAGTGGAATGTACAGCTAGAGAGAAAGAATGTTGCTAGTAGAAACACACGAATAGAGTTTCAGACACTGCTAGTAAAAACAAGTAGCTTTACTACTGATAATTGCTTCACAAGCAGTGATAGTAGATAATAGATATTAGTCACACAATAACACAATTCAAAGAACAAACAATACCTTACAGTCGCAATTCACATTCCAGTCATCAAGTCATCAAGCATAGGACAAGCAGAGAGAGAGTGAGTGAGCTCTCTTGATTCCGTCTTATAGTAAAGTTAATTACAGCTGTTAAGTACATCCACTCATTTAAAGCAACAACGACCATTTGTTGTTGTAGATAGATAGATATTGCCTACCCAACACTAGGAGTATATTCCCAATAATGTTTATGTATTTTGATTCTGCATTTTCAGCATTTAAGAGTTACCTTACAGTATTAGACTGTAAAGATTTCAAATTATCTTGTAACTGTGTTGCTTATGTGTGATGGAGCATCCACAACTTTTGAAGGCAAGCTATTCCATTGATTGGTCTCACCCTTAGGAAATTTCTTCTTAGTCTAGGTTGCTTCTCTCTTTGGTTAGTTTCCATCCATTGTTTCGTGTCATGCCTTTTGGTGCTTTGGAAAATAGTTTGACCACTTCATTTTCGTAGGAACCATTCAAATTTCCTGACAGAACTGTGGAACAACTTATCTCCAGAAGTTATAAATGCTCCAACACTAGAAATTTTAAAGAAGAGATTGGATAACCAATTGTCTGAAGTGGTGTAGGGTTTCCTTCCTAAGCAGGGGGTTGGACTAGAAAATCTCCAAGGTTTCTTCCAACTCTGTTGTTCTATTTCTGTTCTAAATATTGGAACAGTGTTATTTTATTGTGCTATTTTATTGTGAGTTGAACTAAGGAGAAATTTCCTAAGGGTGAGACTAATCAATTTGGCCATGCCAGGGGTGGGTTCCTGCCCGTTTTAACCTCTTCTACAGAAGAGGTTCCACAAATCTACCATGTCATTTAGAACCAGTTCCAGCTCCCTCCCCTCGCCCGTCTGTGCCATGCTTGCTTACCTTAAAGTCTTAAAGCTGTCAAGTTTGAACACCCCTGGGGCGATTTTCTAAAGGGTTAGGGTGCAAGGGTCTTGTAACTTGATAGCTTTAAGACTTGTACACTTCAATGCCAGCGTTCCTGAGCCAATATGACTGGAGGAGGAATTCTGGGAGTTGAAGTTCACAAGTTTTAAAGTGTCAAGTTTGAACACCCCTGGCTTCTTTTTTTTTTTGTAAAGGGTTAGGGGTGCAAGGATCTTGCAACTTGACAGCTTTAAGACTTGCACACCTCAATGCCAGAGTTCCTTAGCCAACATTTTGGTTGCTAAGCAAGAGCATTGTTAAGTGAGTTTCACCACTTTTAACAAGTTGGCCACACCCACCCAGTCACATGGCTGCCAAGCCGCTCCCACTCGGCCACATGGCTGGCAAGCCACTCCCACAAAGTAGGCTACACCGACAGAATAGGTTCTAAAAAAATTTGAAACCCACCACTGGGCCATGCCCACCCAACAGGTCATTAGGGCAGAGAACCAGTTGTTAAATTATTTGAATCCCACTCCTGGCCAGTTTGGTATAGTGATTAAGTCACCACAGTAGATATAGGAGACCATGAAATAGAGAAATAGAAAACTTTCTTTCTGCAAATTACTTTATAGTAGCTTAGCATAGGAAGGCAGTGCCACAACAGACCATTTGTGGAGATGTGATTATTGATACATTTTGAACAATAAAATCCTATGCAAAAGGTCAATAGAAGAATTGTGGTTGGAGTGGTAAACATGGACTTTGGCTTGATTCACATATATGTCTTTGGTTTGACTTTAGCTGGCTGCCTTGAATTCCTGCCAAATGAATTATGGAAAGTGCTTCATTGTGGGAGTACCGCCTACGGATTCTATGATTACCTTTTCTCCAGGACTTCTCTTCACAGGCCGCACTTGGAAAGGAACTCTATTTGGAGGTAGGCTCCTTTTTGGCTATTAATACATTCTCTCTCTTTTTTGCATACTATGGGAAGCTCGGTATTACCAGTATAATATAGCAATGTCACTTATATACCGCTTTATAGTGCTTTGCAGCCAGTGACGTGCAGTGAGGTTTATGGCTGGTGAGGCAAGCGGGCAAAAGCCGCCCTATGTCAGACACAGCGGCAGGGCTTTTGGACGCCCCGGCGCTGTGTCCGCCATAGAGGCGGGACACCTCTATGTCGGACACAGCGGCAAGGCGGCTTTTGCCTCTAGCACCTTTTGCCTGCAAAGCCGCCCTGCTGCCCCGGCGCTAGAAGCAAAAGCCACCCTGGTACTGTGTCCGCCATAGAGGTGGGACGCCTCTATGTCGGACACAGCGGCAGGGCTTCTGGATGTCCTGGCGGTGTGTCTGCCACAGAGGCGGGACGCCTCTATGTCGGACACAGCGGCAGGGCTTTTGGACGCCCGGTGCTGTGTCCGACATAGAGGTGGGATGCCTCTATGTCGGACATAGTGGCAGGGTGGCTTTTGCCTCTAGCGCCTTTTGCCCGCAAAGCCGTCCTGCCGCCCCGGCGCCTCTCCTTCCCCTTCCTTCTTCCCTTACTTCTCCTTTGCTCCTGCTCTTCCTTTTTCCCTTCCTTCCCTCTCTCCTTCGCTTTTCTCTCCCTTCCATCCTCCTTTCCTTTCTCCCTCCCTCCCTTCTCTACTCCTCCTTCCTCCTCTCCTTCCCCTTCCTTCTTCCCGTACCTTTCTCCTGCTCTTCCTCTTCCTCTTCCCCTTTCTACCCTCTCTCCTCCTTTCTCTCCTTTCCATCCTCCTCTCCTTACCTCTTTCTTCTTTCCCCCGTCTTCCTTTCATTCTCTCCTCCTCTCTCCCTTTCTTTTTCTATTGTTGTTGGTGTGTCTATTTTAAATCTCAGTTTATGTTTCCTTGGGATGGTATTTCCGCCAACCCAAACATAATTTAGTATCATTTCTTATTTCAACTCTGCTCTTGTCTGCCATGATGAAAATGTAAAAATGTAAAAGGAAAAAGGCAAGAGCTGCTGAGGTCAGGCTGGGTTAGCTGCTGCTGGAGTCCCCAATGGATGACTCTGCTTAACTGTTTAAAAAAGCCTCTAAAAAAACGCCCTCTACAGGAGGAGGCAAGAGAACCAAGTGCCTCATCTACATAAGGAATTTTTCGGCTTTTAACCCTTGCTTAACTCTGCTCGAGTGATCATAAAGATAGACTAAATGAGGCACGTGGTTCTCCCGCCTCCTCCTGTAAAGGGCACTTTTTAGGGGCTTTTTTAAACAGTTAAGCACTAAGCAGAGTCATCCACTGTGACTCTGGCAGCGACTAGCTCAGCCTGACCTCAGCTCTTGCCTTTTTCATTTTACATATTTTTTCTTTTCATGATGACAGTGGTGAGGCCCTGCCTACCCTGACTGCACGTCACTGTTTGCAGCCCTCTTTAAGTGGTTTACAGAGTCAGCCTATTGCCCCCAACAACCTGGGTTCACATTTTACCCACCTCAGAAGGATGGAAGGCTGAGTCAACCTTGTGCCTGTTGAGATTTAAAATGCCAAATTGCAGGCAGCTGACAGGCAGCAGAGGTAGCCTGCAGTACTGCACCACCATGGCTCATTATATAATACATAGATGATGGGGTTCAAGACCAACTTAGCTTACAGACTGTCAGTCATCTCAACGCCTAAACAGCTGAAATCCTGTGTACCATCTTTCCCCAATCACTTAGTCTTCTGTTTCTATCATCCCCAAGTGGTATTGCCTATGGTTTCATTTGCAGTAACAGTAGCTGTATTGCAACATAGTTGGAAAGCACCAGGTGAGGAAGATGCTCATTGCATCTAATGTTCTGTTATCAGTATATTGGAACAAGATACTCTGGTTTGTTCTTAATATTTTGTTTGCAGTCACTGGAATCTTAACAGACCACTCTTGTTTAAAGACAATGATATGGTTTCCTATTACTTTGAGACAAGAGAGACACAAAAACTATTAATTTTAATAGATTTCACATACTTTAAGAAATAGTTATTAAACTCCACCCGGAAATAAATGTGGAAGGGGGGGAAAAATGAAAACCCCATCTTTGTCAACCTGTATTAAACATTTCATCCATCCATCCATAATGCATCATTGACCCATCACAGCAATCATCACCCCATACCCTATTAGATGTAGCTGTTCTGACCCAGCCTTAGCAGAACCAAGAAATAGACTCCTTGTCCCGAAAACTCCCTCTCTTTATTTAGGTACTGTGAATTCATAGCATTCACACACAGAAAAGTCCAGGCAATAATCCTTCCAAGAGTTAACTGAAGTACAGATCTTATTAGCTCCTTGGATAATTGCCAGGCTGGGAGCTGCCAGCCCCAAAGCTGTAAATTAAACTCTCCCACACAGTCTCTGAGGCACGAATCACAAGGAACAAATCTTTTAGAACAAATCCAAACAGTTGTCTCCTATAACACCACTCCCCTTTTGCTTCTATTTATCCCCTAGGGAGGGGCCATTCAGCGTTCACATGTGCCTTTTCTCACGAGTTGGCTCCTGGTATTCAGTTGTTTGCCTCTCCTGACAGCTGTATGCATACGTGCATCTGGAACAGGCCCCAGCTGTTCCTCTTCCCCACTTAGCTGACTCTGAAGGCAACTAGGGAATGTTGGACAGGATGCAGAATCTCCATCAGAGCCTTCCCCAGACTCCAGGACTGGCCCAAGTTCTTCCCCAAACTCCTCATCATCTGAGTCTACCGCCAGCTCTGCTGGCAGCTGGTGGGCCACAACAGTAGCCTCATGCCACCAAAGGTTGTCCCACACTTTACTTGATCTTCTGTCACCAAATCATAAAATCAGATGTAGTTCTGCTATTACTCACAGGCCCAATTGCCCTTCAAGTGAGAGGAGAACTCTCATCATTTCTCTTACATAGTTCGATGAACAGCTGAAGGACATCCAACAACCAGCAGACTGCTGCTACTCCTGCAACAAGTTACTAAAAGGACCACCAAAGTCCTTTCAAACACAACAGCAAGTTTCGTAAATGATGATGTTTAAGTAAAACAGGATCCACAAACTTAACAGAATTTCAATATGTCTTGATATAAATTGGAATATCTGACTACTTCAAGGGATGTTTTTAAAAACCTAAAAGCAGGAGTAGCAGGGAGAAGAAGTCAAGTAGCTGAGTTGCTGGAAAAAGAGTTTAAACATTTTGCAGTAGATTTTTTTTTGATTTTCTGAAAATTGCTCTCTTTCAGGATATTATTGTTGCAGGCAAACAACATTAATCTGTTTTTTATTTCCCAAAACGAAAGATTTTTTTCCCCAAAACGAAAGTAATATTAGTTGCAGAGGAAGTGAGAACTGAGTTTGGGGAATATCCCAATTTCCCCTTTCATAGCTCTAATTATTTTATTAAAAAATTCAGAGCACCAATGATTCATCTCCTGCATTATATAAATGCAAATTGTACTGAGAGGCAGAGAAAAATCCATGAAATAAAATTAGAATTCTCAAACTCCTTATGAAGCCACATGGTTGTTCTAGTTGTACTACTATTTAGTTATTCATATCGAGCTTCCCCAATTTAATATTCTCCAGAAATGCTAGACTTGAATATCAGCATTTCTCAGACAATGTAATCTTTAAAGGCCAACACTTATGGAAAACACAAGGTCAAGGAAGGTTGCTGTACAATGATGGTCCAGTAATCTTTACAAAGGACAGATGTGATAAGATTCTCTAATACTTTCCTAATCAGTGACGTGCAGTGAGGTTTATGGCTGGTGAGGCACTGACACAGTGGTGGGTTTCAAAATTTTTTTAGACTTGTGGACTTCAACTCCCAGAATTCCACAGCCAGGCATGCTCAGTTCCGATTTAAAGCAACAGCATTTGTTTTTCTCCTTTGTGAAAAAGTTTCCT